GGGGGGGGGGGGGGGGGGCATTATTATTATTGTTAGTTTAATTAAGTCCATTTTGCAGCTGAAGCTGAATTGGGACAACAATATTTACACAATATTTACACAATATTTACGGTAAGAGTTGCTGGTTATTATTACGCAGATCATAATTATGAGTCCGGTATGGTAGACCGGATTTAACTATTGCAGTTAAAGGGTTGTGTGGCGATCTTGGTCTCGAAGTCAGTTAATTAATTTCTTACAAGCTTCTTCTCTTCTTGTACTCAGTAGTTTAATGTTACTTTTCTGTATTATGCTTCTTCATTAGATAAAGTGGAATACGCGATTTTTAAAGCTCTTTTTTGCACCGACTCTATAAGGTCTGATAATGTCATTAATTTCGAAGAGCGGACCAAACTGGTGATGCATATTCCAATTGAGATCTTATAACTGTACAATAAAATTAATATGAACAATTTTTAAAGGGCACAGTCCAGCTTTCGGCATTAATAGGCGTAAAGCATAAACTAGAATGCGTGAATTCGCCTTCTCTAAAATTTTGTCAACGTGTATATCCCATGAAAGATTGTTGGTCAACCACACATGCACCTAGTAGTTTAAAACTAGAGACCCTCTCCACCACATTACCGCCTATAAAAATGTCATTTTCTATTAGTTTATACTTAAGAAACGTAATAACCATATCTTTGCATTTCTTTGGATTTCTTTGGATTTAGTCTCATTCCTCGTTCGTTTGTATCATCAGAAATTTGGTCAACGACAATTGGTAGAAAGCTATATTAGGTAACAATATGGGATTATTTCCTGGGCGTCTATATAGTATCATCGACAAATTTGACTCTCCCATGCCAATCCATCAGCAAAATATTTACTAGAAATACATGCATGCAACAACCCCTGGCCTATATTTTCCAAACATTGTTTCAACATGAAGTATTCGTAACTACGCCAACACTGAACGCAGGCTCGCGTTGCCACGTCATGTTAGTCATGGCAACACGATAATTGTTTTTTAAATTTTTTGTACAGACCGGGAAAAAGTAGATGACATTTGAACACTTTTAAATACAGAACTATCAATTTCTAAAAGATATAAAGTAGGTATAATATTTTCGTTTCTATGGGCTTTATTTTAATGTAAAATTCAAAACGAAACTCTAGCTACGTAAAACGTTTTTAAATGTGAATTGAAATTAACTGCTTTTTGCCGATATTTATAAACTTCTCAACTCGAGCTTCAACTTATTACTCGCACTTTGAAATGAAACAAATTTAATTCGTACAGGACGCTAATGAAAATAATTTTCTTTCCTTTCTTTCATGAACTTCTACAAAAGTTAATTTAACTAAGAAACTTTCGCAAACAATGCATAGGAAAGACTTAAACATCAAGAACAAAGTCTATATTATTAAATAGAAAGTCATACATAAAAAATTGAAACAAACTTGCCCTATACTTTAGGATTTATCATACAATATCAATTTTATCAATGTCTACGTTTAAAAATTGCAAAAAAGTTGTACAACTTGTTATGTGAAACGATTTTCCAAGCTTTCTTGCATGTATTTTTTTATATTTTTTGCCTTCTTCATTCCTGGCAAACAGCCATATTTTGAGATAAGTGATGACCACCCACTCAACACCGTTGGTGAGCGCCCACGAACAAAAAGCAGCGGTCCTAGTTTTGTTCCTTGTGGTAGGCCACCATTTGTTTTCTTCCACGACGAGTATGAGTTTTCAATTTGCACACACTGTTCACGGTTGCTAATAAAAGCCCTTTGATCCACCTCACTATGGCAGGATGTACACCGAGATTTTCCAGCTCGCATATTATGACATTATGATCAACAAGATCGAACCCCTTTTTAAAGTCTGGAAAAACAATCTAGCAGAGCAGGAACCGTTTTCAAGGGCAGACAAATTGGTGTACAGGAGGTATGTTAGAGCATGAGTCGTAGATTTCCTTGGTAACGCAAACTGCTTCGTGTCTAATTTACTCTCAATTTGGGCAAATAATTTTGTCAATTAGTGAATCCCTCCATGACCTTAGAAATCTGAGACGTTAATGATATGGGCCTTAGATCTTCCTCCACGCTTTGAGGTAGTGGAACTTTGGGGATTGGAACCACAATAGACCTTTGAGGTTCATCGGAAACACACCCTGAATGATAGACGAATTATAAATGTCTGTAATGACTGGGGCAAGTTCATATGCACAGACTTTCAAAATTTTGTTAGGTATCATATCTGGACCAGGGCTTTTATTAATTCGAAGTTTGGGGAGTTCATTTCACACTTGATTAGCGTCGATGAGGTATTCACCTCATACATTGAAATCCAGTTGTTCTTCTCCGCATGTTAAAGGAGCAAAATGTGATGTAAGACCGGAAAGGAAACTGTTAAATACTTCAGCCAAGTCATAGCAATTAGGGACATCATTAGAAACTAGCTGATTGTACCAACAGCTTTAAGATATACCACCCAACGACTTATTTCCTTCCACCATCTTGAGGGATTGGAAGTTTTCGATTTGATTGATTGCTGGACTTGATTTCGCCAGAGTTTATATGCATCGGAATTTTCCCCATAGTAATGGGAGGTTTATGGCGTTTGATCATTAACTCTTTTATTGATGACTTCAGCCATGGTTTGTCACTTTTGGTTACTTTAGTTTTTTTCAAAGGGACATAACCAGAAATGTGGGACATGTTGCGTCCGCAATCGTAACAAGCGGTTTTATGCATAAATGATGATTCATCAAAAAATGCAAACAAAATGGCGGCTCATTCTTCAAAGAGAAATCGTGTTGCTTAAAGGGTATGACCAACAAAAAATTTTATTGCTTCATCTGAAAGAGCATGAAAAAA